TTTCTATTTAACTTGGAAAAAAAAGTTTACAGAGTAGGCTCTCGAGTGAGTTTATGAACAGGGAAATATGACCAGTTAAAATCTTAGATAAAGTTGCTATTGATGACTGGTTTTCCATCTTGATCCTACTTGGAAACCTTCCTAGATCTGCTCAGGAATAATAAACTCTGCATCCCTGTAACTTCACTACCTCTCTTAGGCCAAGGGCTGACATTTAATCCAAGTGTAGTTCCTTTACATAATGACTATATTCTTGAAGTATATACAAATGACATTTTTTAAAAGCCGAGTAATATTTTCAGAAAGGTGCACACTATAAAGACATCTTTGGTAAGTCTATTTTCTCATAATTGCTCTTTAAAGCAGAACTTAAAATACCCTCAACATTTTTATCACTTATATGCTGTATAACTTGAAGGAGTGAAAGTGTTAATTAAGACAGGCTGGTGCAAAGTAATTGCGAGTTTTGCCCTTTTTTTTTTTAATGGTAAAAATCACAAATTACTTTTGCACCAATCCAATACTTCGCTTGCCTTTGAGTGACTGGCACAGTGAGGGAAACAAAAACAATTAATAGTGCTTGTCATATAAACATAGCTGGAAGATGAGATATGTTCTCAAATAATAACAATGACGGCATAGAAGCAGTGACAGTGAAAGCACATGTAAGTTATTTAACAAAGTCAAATATTCAGACCAGCATACTATATATAGCGCTACAATATGCTGTATATGAGAAAAGTCATGCTGCATGTTTTCCCCCAACTTTTCATTGTTCCCCAGGCATGTATTTTTTTTTTTTTGCTTGCTTATTATGGACCAGACCAAAAAAAATGCATGAGATGGTGACCGATAAGGAAGAAGAGAATGTAAATGCGGAGGGGGGGACGAATGTAAGCACCAGTTTAACACAGTGTGATAAAAGTGATGTACTCGTCCTACAATTTTAACTGCTCTTTATTCGACTTAATTGTTCTTAAAATGAGGTACTTTTTGCTAGCAACTAAACATAGAGAAGGGCCTAGGATACCAGATAGATAGGAGTAGAAAATACTATGTGAGAGTTTGTGTTACATAGTTCAGATAACAGTAATGATCTCCAGAAAACTTGCAGGACATGAGAATAGTCGTTTGAGCTTGATTTTATACATTAGAAGTGAGATGAAATATGAAATAGAACTATTAGTTGCCATCTTTAAATACATTTTCATTTGTACCAAATTAGACTTAACAAAAACTTTTTTAGAACAATTGGGACCAAAAAAGAGTAGTTCTATGTTCTGAGGATACCCAGGTTTATTTCTCTAGACTTGGACTTTCTAAATGCCAGATGAATGCAATCAGCTGCCTACAGGACCTCTGGACTCAGATTTCTTGCCTGCACAGCATGCTTATCACCTGAGGTTGAACCTATTCTTTCGTTTCCTCACGGTCTCCAAATCTGCTGTCCTCTCCAGCATTCCGTGTCAGTCAATAACTTCAGCATACCCACCCTTCCCCAACTACTGCAATTACCCAAGCCAGAGACACATTTTGATTCCTCCCTCTTAGAATGATTTTTCTTCCTAATGTGGTTATAGTGTTAACACATTAACTTATCAGCTTCTGAAGAAAAAGGTCTTGCTTTCTGGTCATGGGAGCAAAATCTAAACTTGAGTTGCGTCAAGAACTACAAGAACAGGAGACAGATGACTCAGTTCTAAAATGGCGATCATTAGCTCCTGCAGATTTCATTACAACTTGCCTGAATTACCTGAGTACTTTGAACTAATTAGAAAATTAACCCATTTTAGAGGATAGTAAGGTATAAGGAAGGATATTTGTTAGAGTTTAAATATGCAAGATGCTATCTGAAAACTTTGAGAAGTACTATTTTAGACCATACATGTATTCAATTTCTCAATTTAGTACTTGTTCATATAATTTCATGTTTACCTTTTGACAATTCAAACTGAGTATTTTCAATATCAGGCAATGCCATGTACTTGAACTTCTCTTTAGTTCAGCAAAGCAGTCATTGGTGTGTCAGATATGGTGGAATCAGGGAAATAACATTATTTCACTCCTAATTAGGATTTATCAGTTTTTTTTATTCTGTTCATTTTTTACTATTTCTAACAAATTAGAACTTTATATTTAAGATAACAGAAGTAACTTTACAAACTGTTGGAAAGACATTTTGACAATTTGACATTTTTGCATACATTTTGTGTAGTGAGTGTACCAATCAAGAGGAGGTGTTAAACTGATTTTTTAATGTCAATTTCATCATGGAAACATCTGAAGGATAGTTAACAACTGTAATTATATCTGTTTTAGTCTTGAGTATAATTTACACATGTAAAAATTTCCAAGGAGATCTTACTAGTTTGGTACTTTGATCTTTGTTCTGGCTTACAGGTTGGCTAGTTTTACTGGTCACTCAATTAATGATGATGTCCCTGATAAATACACCGAAGGTACTAATGTGGTCATTTAGCTCTCCAGGAAGTCAGAAGATTGGACTAATTGTCCACTTAAAGGTGTAGCAAATTCTAATACTAGTATTTTTTTTTTAATACTAGTATTTAATCACTTGTGACTAAATTTAACTCAAAGACAGACACAAATGAGAAAAATATGCAAAAAATTTTTTTGTATCTTTTTATGCTTATTAATTGGCAGTGGTCAAAAAATGGAACTACATGTTTCTGAATGAATGGAAAAGGCTTTATAGAGCTATTCAAGGATAAATTATTATTTGTAATATATTGCACAATATCTGAATCTTAAGTTGAAATTTTTTCCCATTTCTGGTGTCCCCCAATAAAAAAGTATCACCACTAAGGCTTTTGGTAAAACCTTTAAAATAGTTTAACTTTTAAAAATAAGGTTTAGCTGAAAGCAGATCTCATAGTTTGTGAGTATCTCAATCTCTTGCCAACTCTTTTTTTTTTTTTTTTTAAAGAGAAAAGTTTTCTAGTTTTCTAGAAGGAGTTAGACATAAATATCTCAAAACAATTTTAAATAATCAGGTGAACTTCACAGGCTTTTCTTTGTCAAGAGATTACATGTTGGAGTAGAGTTTATATATTCAATTCTAGAACACGATGACCCTTCATTGTAAAAACAAACAAACAAAAACAAAATAAGAAAAGCATACACAAAATAGCAGAGACATTCACTTCTTGAGTCACTCTAACAACTTCTGAAAGACGATAAACTCAAATCCTGTCCTTTTTCCTCAAGGAAAAAAAAGCATTTTGTTGGCTCTTCTCTGAATTATTTTAATAAGAAATAGAACGTTTTATTACTATTTGTGAAATAGTAAATATTTGATCACATGGGAGGACTACTTTATAAATAATTTCACTTCAAGGATTCAAATGGGGAATCCTTAATTTTAAACTTGATTTCAACATGAGGGGTTATTTTGGATTTCTTGATTTGTTACGCGGCTTTCAAGTATATTTAAAAAATCCAAAAAATGCAGGAGGTTTTAAAGAAATAACTAGCTCTGATTTCTGGCTCTGTCCAAAAATTTGCTTTTACAGATTTCTTACTAATGTAGATTTTCCTCATCTTAATTCTAAGCATATATTTAGCGATCTAAAGTTATAAAATCTAAAGCACAATTTACATGACTAAACACTAAAGGTTCAAAGGGGAAAAGCTTAATCATGCCTTTGTAATGTGAATGGTAAAGACACCAATTATTGACTAGATGCTGCCAATTGTGATGACAGCCATGTTTAAAGTGAAGGTAGCTATAAAGCAGGGAAGCGTCTCTGGTGAGTCAGAGAATTCGTAACTTGAGGAACTCCTAGTGGAAATGAAGTGGAAACACAGTTTCTTTCATCAATGAGAAAACCGAAGAAGAGCGTTAACAAAACTCCTCTAGAAGAAGAGCGTTAACAAAACTCAGCAGAGAAACTTACAGGTATGATTCACAAATTAAACCAGTTTACGCCATACATTATGCCCCTTTGTATTACGTTAACCAACGAGCATACTAATCAATATGGAAAATACCGCTTTAACTTGCCTCAATTTCGTAATCGCCCGCCCCCTGCTCCCGCCCCCGTCCCCGTCCCCGCTTCGTAAATTCTCTAGACCCTGAGCTCCTTGTTTGCTCACAGTCCCTCCCCCAGCCTCAATCTTTCAGTTACTTAGCCGGCGCTCAACAAACGTTAGGTGAACTGAACAGTGCTGACAAGGCAATCTCAAGTTGCTGTCTCGGGGGTGGTGAGGCAAGGCACAGGAGAAAAGGACTTCTAGTTCTTCCCACTGCCAGTGGGGCCCCCCAGCATCACTTTCGGTCCCTTCGTGACAGGGACCGTGCTTTGTGGGTGACCAAGTCCCTCGCAAGCCTGCAGTGCTTCCGCTGGTGCAGTCATCTCCTTCCCCTCGCACTAAAACAATACCCTGGCCTCCTGCCAAACTCTTGAGCAGCGAGCAACTCTGGCTGTTTATGGCCCGGACCGGGTGCTGTAAGAAGCTTGGGCCGCTCTAAGAGTTAGCAGTGGCCGGGAGAAAGAGAAGAGGCCCAAGCATTAAAACACTCCCTTCCTCCGCCCCCTCCCTTTTGTCCCAGACACCAAAACAAACGAGCTGATACACGTGTCCCTATGACTCTTGTTTACTATCAAGACTGCGCAGTGCGAGCGCCTCTGGGATATGTAGTTCAGTTCTTCCTCGGCAAGCAGTCTCCTACAGCCAAGGACCAACGCTTGAGACTACGAACCCACAATCCATTTCGGGGACAAAGTTTTGCTCGGGTCCCCCGACTCTCGGCAGTACTCCAATCCAAAGCACTTACTCTGGTGATTGACACGCCGTGTTCTCCAGTAAACACAACACAAAAGTCAATACACGCCCGCCCCCCGAGACGGACCATGGCATCACCCAATGGGAAAGGGGAAGAACCGAATGGCAGTTCTGCAGACCAATAAAAAGGCGAAAGAGCTGGGCGGAGGCTCAACCCCCAGGGAGTTGAGGGGAGGGGGAAGACGAAGCTTGAAAGACTTGGTAATGGCGACGGGTTTGGTAAGTAGGAAAGTTTCGGTTGAGGAGTAAGAGCGGCGGTGGCAGCAGTAACGCGCGCGGGGGAGGCCGGCGTCAGTCGGAGAGGGGGTTCGAGAGCTGCTGGTGGTGTTGTCGTGGCCGGGGCGGCCCGCGCCTGGGCTGCCGGCACTTCGCGGCAGGTTTGTTGTCTTTCAGTTTGGGAAGAGGTGGGGGTGGGGAAGGGAGGGGCAGGAGTCCGGAGGATCCGGCGGCCGCGGAGGGGGGGCTCGGGTACGCGTTTCTCCTCCTGGCAGGGCTGCCCTTGGGGTGGGGGCACTTAACCGTTCGACTGGTGCCCGCGGCGAGCCCAACAGACCAGCGCCTCCCGCGAGCTCACCTGGGCTTCGGGGCGGTGACGCTAGGGGGTCTCGGGCGGGGGCCGGGAAGAGGCTGGGGGAGGGCGACGCCCCGGCCCGGTTAGCGCGGTGGGTGGCCGGGCCGGGTGTGGAGATGGGGCGGGTCTGGGTGGGGGAAGGGGCCGACGCGGCGCCGGGGCTGCCCAGGAAAGTTTGACTTCAACTCCCCGCTTGTGGGCGGAGGGTCAGAGTTTGGCCAGGGGTGGGGACGCGGCCGGATGTGGGGGACCCCAGTGAGGCGCCGCCTCCTTCTGGACCGAGTGGGCTCCGGCCGAGCTGAGGAGCTCGCGGAGCCGCTGGGCCCCGGGGCTCATTGTTACGCAGTTCGAATGAATGGGCTCCCAGGCGCCTGCGCGCTGGGGCTGAGCCGAGGGGAAAAACAAGCCCGGAGTCCAAGCTGCGGTCACATGATGGGGGGAAGGGAGGGGAACGCGATGAATGGCGAAAGAGGGTGGGGGATGGACTTGGCGTGAACCGGGAGGCGCTGCTCTCTGTGACCCAAAGGGGAGGCTTGGCAGGCAATTCCAGTCTCCGCCTTTTAACCTATGCTGCCGCCGCAGGCCGATTGAAACAAAACAAAAAGAAGCCAGGCGAAGTCGACAGCCAGGTTTTTTGTAGCTTTAAATGCTGCGTGCTGTCTCGGATATTTCACTCTCGGCTGTGCACTCTACAGTCTAAGTTCATTCTTTGGGAGTTTTCAGCTCGAGTCGTGTTTTAGAAGGAGCACTGACAGCGAGGCAATACTCAAGTTTTTCTGTTTTGTTTTTGACTCACGATGCCACCATGCCAGGACCAGAGGAGGCTTAGAAAAGGAGTTACACATACTGGGAAGCGATGGAGTCCTACCAACAGCTTGGATGAAGGGCTTTAGATTTATTAATATTTTCCTCTAAATAGCTGTGGGAAGACTCTTAATCGTGGTTCTGAAATTAAAGTTACTTTTTGAGAATTAGAATAATTTTAACATTTTAAAGTATTTACATATGTAAATTTCTGATCATTTTAACAGCGATCTAAATTTGCAATGTATGTCTTGTACTGTTTTTTGTTTTTTATGATATTGTGTTTTGCTTTATCTTGCAAACGAGTGGTAGAGTCAGTGATTGGTTCAGTTTCCTTGGTCAAACTCATTTCTTGCTAGGTAGATAGTAGTTGACAAAGCTTCAGGGAGATTTGACTTACCTTGAGAATTAAATCTACTCAATGTTTTTGGGTTATACTTTTCAGGAGCCATTTAACCGCTTTAAAGCAAAATATTGCTTGTACTAACTTGAATGGTAAGTTACAGAATGAAGTTCTGATTTCACTTTCCAGTTTCATCTTAGTTTCGTAAACCCAGTTATTCTTTCTTCACTTCTCAAAAGTCCTAACTACATACACTAGTTGAAAGGGTACCTTTTCCCAGGATTGCCCGCCTACGTGTCTCCGCTATCCTTTGTGCTTCACAGGGCACACCTCTCAGACTTCAAACATGACACCGTCATTGTAAAAATTCACATTTTTATAACTCTTACAGTGATATGTATGTATGTATTTTAGATGGAGTCTCGCTCTGTCACCAAGGCTGGAGTGCAGTGGCACGATCTCAGCTCACTGCAACTTCCGCCTGCCGGGTTCAAGCGGTTCTCCTGCCTCAGCTTCCTGAGTAGGTGGGACTACAGGCGCACGCCACCACTCCCAACTAATTTTTAGATATTTTTAGTAGAGACAGGGTTTCACCACGTTGGCCGGGATGTCTCGATGTCCTGACCTCGTGATCTGCCCGCCTCGGCCTTCCAAAGTGCTGGGATTACAGGCATGAGCCCCCGTGTTCGGCCCACTATATTTTAACTTCTTTGGATTCTTTCCTCACTAATACAAGTGCCCAGTGAAGAAGGCGTATTGCATAATGGCATGGAGTTATTAAACTGCGGTGCCCTGAAGGTTCTTTAGGGTGAATTGCAAGCTGATGTTTTGTATATATGTTTGAGATAAAAATACTGCTACTCTTCTCTGCACCTCCCGCATGCGCATTATCCATTAGAAGTTACTGCTGGCTGGGCGTAGTGGCTCTTGTCTCGCCCGGCGCTTTGGAAGGCCAAGGCGGGCGGATCACCTGACAGAAGTTTGGGACCAGCCTGGCCAATGTGGCGAAATTGTACTAAAAATACAAAAGTTAACCGGGCATGGTGGCGCGCGCCTGTGGTCCCAGTTACTTGGGAGGCTGAGGCACGAGAATCATTTGAATCTGGTGACAGAGGTTGCAGCGAGCCGAGATCGCACAATTGCACTCTAGCCTGGCTGACAGAACAAGACTCTTAAAAAAAAAGGAAAAGAAAAGAGTCAATGCTAGGAATTTTGTGTGTATCTTCCTTTAAGTACGAAAGCAAGTGTTTTACTTAGGATGGAAAAATTGCAACAACAAAAAAATTAAAGCTGCCAGATACCTGCTTATCACAAAATTCAGAGAAAAATGGCATACTGTAATATTCTTATTAACTGCCTGATACCAATAACATTATTCATATTTTTCATATACTGATCAGCATTTACTTTCGTGCTTTATAATTTCTACTGTAATTTTGTATAAACTAGAAAAGTAATTTTCTCCGTAATGTGGTTGAGTTTTTTTTTTAAGTTATTGAACATAGCTTAGAAAAGCTTTTTCCACAAGTTTTTACAGATAATGTAAAAACATTTAGGAGTACAATCAAGTTTAGGAAAACAAGTTTCATAAGAATTTTTAGATGATGTCAAATTTTATTGTATGACTCATTTTAAATACTTATTTGAATTGACAGTACTCAAACAGTTCATGGATGGCTGCTTGTGGTATTCTGTTGTGGTTTCTGTTGTCTTGATCAATACAGCATTTCATGTTGATTGAGCATGAAATCACTAAGATCTTGTATAGATGTGGATTAGGCAGTGTCTGTGGAATGTAATATCTTTTATTCCTACAACAATTCTGGTAGGTAGATAGGTACTAGTCCTATTTATTTTTTTACTTGTTTTTAAAAAAGTTTTGGCCGGGCGTGGTGGCTCACACCTGTAATCTCAGTACTTTGGGAAGCTGAGGTGGGTGGATCACGAGGTCAAGAGATCGAGACCATCCAGGCCAACATGGTGAAACCCCGTCTCTACTAAAAAATAGGAAAAATTAGCTGGGCGTGGTGGCGTGCGCCTGTAGTCCCAGCTACTCAGGAGGCTGAGGCAGGAGATTGCTTGAACCCTGGAGATGGAGGTTGCAGTGAGAAGAGGTCTTGCCTCTGCACTCCCGCCTGGTGCCTGGTGACAGAGCGAGACCCTGTCTTTTTAAAAAAAAAAAAAAAAAAAAGTTTTTAAAGATGGGGTCTTGCTCTGTTGCCCAGGTTGGTCTTGAACTCCAGGCTCAAGCGATCCTCCTGTCTCAGCCTCCCAAAGTGCTGGGATTGCAGGAATGAGCCACTGAGCCTGGCCACTAGTCTTATTTGCAAATAAAAAACCAGACCCTAATGAGAAAACAGGCCTGGAGGTTTAATTCAGGGCCATGTAAGTGGTAAGTGACAAAAATGAATCCCCTAAGGTTTTTTGTTGTTGTTTCCTCTTTTTTCTTAGCCCAGTGGCAAACTAGAGTTTTAGACACATTTCTGTGAAATCTGTTGGAAATACTCTAAAAAAACAGCATTAAGTCCTCCCAGGTGCTTTGGGTGTAGAAAGTTACATTTAATATACTTTGTTATGGAGGTTTGTTTTAGCGTGTAATTATGTAACCCATTTAAAATACCTCAGTTTCAGAGATAGAAATTAATTGCAAATTGCCTTTTTTTCACCCACTCTGAAAACAATTTGAGCATGTAGTCTGGACTGGTTAGGGGAGAGAGTATAGAAGATCCTGCTGTGAATTCCATAAAAAGATAAGGACTCAGGGAATAATAGGCCCTTGAAAGCAGGAGATAACCCATGGTGGCCTATACCTTTTGTCTTTTTTCCCTCTCAGCGCTCCCCTTCAAAAAGAAAATGGTCCCATTTAGTCGTCATAGTCCTGCTTTCCCCATACATAATAATACTTTATTCACAGAGCTGTTCCGTGTTTTAAATAAAATTAGATAAAGTACATGGAAATGCTATGTAGGTAGGCATTTTGTAAAACCTCTCTTCTTCATTCATTGAGACTTAGCTTTTTCTCATTCTCTCTTCTTTTCATGTCTTAGGATTTTTTGGATACTTGCTTGTGAAAGTTTGTATACCAAAAGCAATGTGGTCTTTCAATAAAATAAAATTTATAATACTGAATGTGACATTTCAGAGTGTAACTTCTGGAAAATTTTACTAAGAATCACTGATCTAGTGAAGAGATGACATGTACAGAATGAACTAAAATACAAGACAAGCTGTGTTGAATCTAATACCAAAGCAGTATACAAAAGCATGAATGAACAATAGGGTTAGCTCTACCAGGATATATCTGAAAGAGGAGCTTGTTTATCAAAATGAGTATGTAATGGTATAATGTATGTAGGGGAGCCTTATTGAGTAAGGACTTTTCTGATATTCCTTTACTGTATTGGAGACCTTGCTTGCTTTCTCCAAAATTCCTGAGACTGAGAATTAGAAAAGAAAGAGGGAATTCCAATTGAAAATAGACAGAATTAGAAGAGACAGAAAACTTGCGTATATGGTTTTGAATTTTGTTTTCAGGTATTGAATTCTCAGAATAGCCCGGTGAGGTAAGTAGAGGGACTGCGTGAGTCTGAGATTGAGTGGCCTGTCCCCAGTTACTCAGCCAGTTAGAGTGAAACCGAAGTCTGTTGTCTTGAAGTCTAGATTCTCTTACTGTACAGTAGTTTTACAGCAGCAGAGCTTCAGTTTTCTCAGGACCAAACTTTTCATAGCCTTGAGCAGTGAGAGGTGTGAACATAATCGTTCAGTAAATATTTATTTGGTCCCTTTGGTTATTTATAGTAGCTCTGTTTTAAAATTAAAATAATGTGTTTTTCCAGCTTCATTTAAGGAGTTTTGAATGGTGGTAGGTAACGAAAACAAAGCCCTGAAGAAATGATAGAAGTTGCAAAGAGATATTAGTGTACTGTACTTGGTGAATGTTGGAAACTGGAGGACCTGCTGTGGGGAAGAAAAAAAGTTCTTAGCTGGGAAGAATGAGGATACCAAAGAGCTCTGCGGAGGGAGGGGGTAGACAAAACAGACTGCAGCTGTGCTTCTGTGGACTCCAAGATATGTGTACAAAGGATATGTGTATGAACAGTGCTGTTCTTGGGGTCCACTTTTATTGTGTGTAGTGCATGTAAAGTTGCACTTTATGCACTGCATACATATGTGTAGTGCATAACGTGTAGTGCAACTTCTGAATTTCATAACAAAGGTAAAAGTGGTAAATGTTTTAAGTTCAGGATTGCAGATAGGTTTGACTTATGCAGCTCACATCTGTATGTGAAGCATAGTACAATTACAGGATTTTTAGTCATCAAAATAGGTTAAATTATATTGTGTATACTTAAGATGCTAGAAAGATTTCTATGGAAAGATTTAAAACCTCCTATCTAAAATGTTAATATTAGCTGTTTAAAGAACTCACATAGTATGACTAGTTCCACTTTTAGGCGCTACTAAATAAGGAATCTGCACTGATACTATCAATTACCTTTTCTCAGAACCATTGTAAAGGAAGCTGGAGACAGGTGGCTTACATAGACAGAGATTGGGAATGTGAGTATCTTTTTTAAAAAAAAAAAAACAAAAACCTTCTAAAATGTTGGTGTTCTGCATACTTATGCAGTGTTTCGGTATGATTTTGTCCATAGACTCAAAGAGACTGTTTTAAAGTATAGTTCTGATCATGTCAGAACTCTTAAAAAATCCTCAGTCGTTCTTCATTGTCTGATAACTGCTAATCATAACAGTAGTCACTGTACAGTGAAGGTGTGCTTTGTGTTAGGCACTATTCTGAGCATTTTACCTGATCTCACTGAGATTTTATAACAACCTGTGAGGTGTAGGTACTTTTATTTCCATCTTATAAACAAGGCATGAAGATTTTAAGTAAATTATTTAGGGCACATAGCTAATAAGTGGCAGATCTGGTATATAAACTTAGGCAGCCTGATTTCAGAGCCCCCATTCTTGTCTCTAAATAAATAAATAAATAGTTTTCCTATAAGTAGAATTGAACATTGATCCTAGACTACCTTTCCATATAGTGGTATTCTTATAGCCTCAGTATTCATGATCACATGACACACAAGGCCATCCTACTTTGTGGTGAAACTAGATTCTACATTCTTCTGATCTCATCTAGGACTTTGCCAGCTGTATGAGTTTAATCCTGTGAGTTTCTCTCACTGGGAGACCTCCCTCCCTGCTTTTTTTTTAACCCATTCATAGCCAAGTCCTGCTCTGTAGAACGGTGGTCATCTGCTTGTATCTTTCCACTAAAGCATAGATTCCTTGAGACTCATGATTAATTGTTCATTAGTGAGGTCCAGATTGCAACTAATACAATGCCTTGTACATAGTATTTATTAATGATTTTTTAAAATAAGTAGGAATTTAGCAACTATTTTTAGCCCAGTGTGTCTCAATATTTTGTACCTGGAAACAAAAACCAGTGCACAAAGTTGTACCCCACGCGAAATAGATCCTCTGGGGTTGAGGCCTGGAAAACGTTTTTTAAAAGCATGTATATGATGCTGTGTGCCACAGGATGGAGTTGAGAATCACTGATGAAGCTCAATTTGCTCCGTTTTTTATTTTTTCAGGGAGAAAGTGGAGCCTCAAAATCATGATTTCATGGTTGAGAAATAGATTTGTGTTACATTTTCTCTAGTTGCTAGTTTTGTGGGGGAAATTGTTATATCCCAGCATATTTGCTGTAATTATTTGCCAAGATTGATTGTGATCAGTGCATTGTACTAAACTGGAGAAGTGTTAATTCCTTCCAAATTTCATGTTTTAGGGGCTTAAAGTAATGGCATGATATGACTTTTATTGAGATGTGTTGGATGATTTGTCATAATATCTCCCAGGGAGTAGAGTGTTGAAACTGAATAGCTATCTGATTTCCACCTGTTAAATATGTATTTTCAGTAACTGTTCTATTTAGGACATTATAAACCCAAAGTACGTTTAATATTGCCTTACATCTGGGGATAAAAAAAATTTCAAAAGACATTATTTTACATTTTTTTCACTACTTCATTTCATTCTCACAACTCTCAGAGTAAAGTAAGGCAGGTATCATTAGCTCTATTTTACAGATGAAGATGTTGAGTTAATGAGAAACTCAGTTACTTAGGTCATATGTTTGGTAAGTGATCAAGCTGAAATCAAAACCTGTTTCCTTACATCTAAACCAGTGCCCTTTTTGCTACACCATAATATATTGGGTAGTCAGTATTGAGCAAGGATCTAAAGCAGTGCCCAGGATAAGAGTTATTTTTGAGGAGTATAGGCAGATAGCATCCAAAATAGAATATTAGACATACAGTAAGGCAATGTGCATGCAGTTGGGCTATGTGTCAAGAACGCTGTAGGAATCTAAAATAATCAGATGTAAGCAAATAACTTTTAGAATAAGAATATAAATTCAGTGGTGTTTAGAAGAATGACGAAGCTGGGAATAGCATATTTAGCAGTAGGGGGGATAAGTGAATTTTGGCACATCCTTATGATGTATATTTAACTATTTAGAGCTTTGAAAAAATTTAATGGCATAAGAAAATGCTTATGAACTTACATTAGGCAAAAAGGTATCAAACTATAATATGAAGTTGGAAGAAAAACACTATTTTGTGTATGTGTGCATGAAACAGAGATTGGATTGTAATACATCAAAATGTTAAAAGTATCTAAAACTGGTTGGTGGTGTTAGAAGTAATCATTATATTCCTCAAAATTTTTTTTTTGCCATTTTTTGCACAGTGATTGTATTTTCTATTCAAGAAAACATTTCGAAAATGTAAAAGATCATGAAAAAGCCTTTGTAGAAAGAAATTTATCAGTGTCACCATTGTTTATTGGCAATTAACACAATGGCTTAGAAAGTTTATAAATATTAAGTAATTAACATTTTTTTCAGTGCAGTTTTAATCAGCCTGCACTGGGATACTTGACTTTCAGTGACTTTTAACAGCAGTGTATTTTATTACTTTATTTTGAGGAAAAATATATTGTTGCAAAAGTCAAGATTTTTTGGGTATTTCATGTTCACTCATTAGAACTTTATTTTTCTTTAAGAGGCGAGGTCTTGCTACATTGCCCAGATTGGATTCCAGCACATAGGCTCAAGCAGTCCTTCCACTTCAGTCTAACCCAAGTAGCTGGAACTATAGGCGTGAGCCACTGCATCAGGTTAGAACTTTTTAAAAAAATGGAATTTAGACTAGAGCCTGAGAAATCAGAAAATCTTGCTGTTGTCCCTTATGTTAGAGAACTAATTTGATCATTGTGCAAAGGGTGGAATAAAAGGTATAACCACGTTTTCCTTTCATAATAATATTTAGTTGTTGGACTTCGCTAAGAAATTATTTAAATGTGTTAACCCATATTCTTTTCCTTGTGATAACTTTGTAGGCTTGCAGGTAGATTTACTAGTTGTTTAACTAAGTTTGCCATGATTATTATTCATCTTTTTAGACATCATATTCTATTCAGAATGACAGGTATCTATTTTGGCTAGATCCCAAATTTTCAGTAGGAAAGCCTAAGAACATTTTTATTTTTATGAGAATTGTAGTATATGGCCATTTAAAGAAACTCTTTCTTAAACGTTCTTTGAAAATGCATTTTTTAAGTGTGCTGAAGTAGTTCACTTTCAGAATGAGGAAGCAAAATAACAAACAGTAAACAGAGACATTAAAATAGAATCTTTCTTAAAAAAAAAGGAAAAGGAATATTCCTTCAGTCTTTTTAACTTTTATTGAGGAAAGTCTTTAAATTTTCTTTTGAATTTGAAGGTACAAGTGAAGCAAAGTCTTATTAGTCTCAGTATTTGCATCTGAAAGGATGGTTAAAGAAATAAAAATATATATAATGCCATTATTCTTTAGTAGGAAAGACTTTTTTAAAAAAATAAATTCAAGATATTAATCTATTGGGATTCCAGTATAATTTAGCACTGAGCTTTCAGTTGTGGTCTAAGATATTAGGGAGTCATCCTGGTCTGAAGAATTTGAGGGAGCTATAAATGGCAGTATATGATTAAGTTAAAATGTGACACTGTGGCTGGGCATGGTGGCTTACGCCTGTAATTTCTGCGCTTTGGGAGGCTGATGTGGGCGGATATCTTGAGGTCAGGGGTTTGAGACCAGCCTGGCCAACATGTCAAAACCTCATCTCTACTAAAAATAGAAAAATCAGCTGGGCGTGGTGGTGCATGCCTGTAATCCCAGCTAGTTGAGTGGCTGAGGTAGGAGAATCCCTTGAACCCAGGAGGTGGAGGTAGTCGTGGGCCGAGATCATGCCACTCCACTGCAGCCTGGGTGACAGAGGGAGACTATGTCTTTAAAAAAAAAAAAAAGCAACATTGTCATGCCTTTGATTTATTTTGTGTTTGTGTAATGCCCAAATGGCATGGCTTGACATTTTTTCTTCTGTTGTTTTTAAGTCGGAGCACCATAACATGGTGTGGGAAGTGAAGACAAATCAGATGCCTAATGCAGTACAGAAACTCCTGTTGGTGATGGACAAGAGAGCTTCAGGAATGAATGACTCATTGGAGTTGCTGCAGTGTAATGAGAATTTGCCATCTTCACCTGGATATAACTCCTGTGATGAGCACATGGAGCTTGGTAAACAAAATTAAAAGTTATATAGGAATCTCACTAAGATTCTGATAAATTTTCATACTTGGCCAGCTTTTCCACCAACCTTTACTGGCTAGAAAAGTATGTGAAGTATTTGTATATTAGGAATTTTCAACATTATGTTATTACTTTTAAAATATTACTTAAAACCAACATGAGTTGGACTATTTGTGGTTATAGAGATACATTCACAGATTAATAAACTGCTTTGTGTATAAAGATTGGTCCCCACTTGTGGCTTTTTGAAAGATGCTGTTTTTGAAATATACTCCAGAGAGCTCAGTGAAATACACTTAGCCACTCTTCATGTCACATTTGCTGGTATAATGTGGAAATTACAGTGGACACTTGAAACTTGAGGATCTGACATTTATGGTTGTCACTATTGCTAAACTGCTCCTCGAGATATGTGACCTGTATGTAGAATGTGTAGGTTTGTTGAGGTATGTTTTTGAATTGTATTGCTTCGAGGCTGGTGTTCAGGAGTATAGAGCTAACAAGTGACCTTGGATTACTGCCCAGCTTCTCAGCTTGGCTTTGCCCCCATTTAATATGGGTTTTTCCTTTATGTTTATAAAAACCCTTAGGAGAAGATACAGCTGTCTTAACTTTACAAGTCATGAAGTGGAGGAGATTTTGTACTACGGTAGTGTTTGGAAATTTGGTGATCTTTTTTATTTTTTTATTTTATATATATATATACACACTGCGTTTTAGGTTTTGAGGTACATGTGAGGAACATGCAAGATTGTTGCATAGGTACATACATGGCAATGTGGTTTCCTGCCTTCCTCCCCATCACCTGTATCTGGCATTTTCTCCATGTTATCCCTCCCAAACTCCCCACCCTCGGCTGTCCTTCGCCTAGTTCCCCTCCACAGGCCTCAGTGTGTGATGCTCCCCTCCCTGCGTCCATGTGTTCTCATTGTTCAACACCTGCTTATGAGTGAGAACATGCAGTGTTTGATTTTCTGTTCTTGTGTCAATTTGCTGAGAATGGCGGTTTCCAGGTTCGTCCATGTCCCTACAAAGGACACGAACTCATCGTTTTTTATGGCTGCACAGTATTCCATGGTGTATATGTGCCACATTTTCCCTGTAGAGTCTATCATCGATGGGCATTTGGATTGGTTCCACGTCTTTCCTGTTGTAAACAGTGCTGCAGTGAACGTTTGTGTGCATGTGTCCTTATAATAGAACAATTTATAATCCTTTGGATGTGTACCCAGTAATGGGATTGTTGGGTCAAATGGAATTTCTATTTCTAGGTCCTTGAGGAATCGCCACACTGTCTTCCACAGTGGTTGAACTAATTTACACTCCCACCAACAGTGTAATTAGTTCCTATTTCTCCACATCCTCTCCAGCATATGTTGTCTCCAGATTTTTTAATGATCGCCATTCTAACTGGCGTGAGATGGTATCTCAATGTAGTTTTGATTTGCATTTCTGTAATTACCAGTGATGATGAACATTTTTTCATATGTTGGCCTCATATATGTCTTTTGTAAAGTGTCTGTTCATATCTTTCGCCCACTTTTGAATGGGTTGGTTTGGTTTTTTTTCTTGTAAATCTGTTTTAGTTCTGTATAGATTCTGGATATGAGCCCTTTTGTCAGATGGGTAGATGACAAAAATTTTTTCCCATTCTGTTGCTTGCCGATTCACTCTAATGACTGCTGCTTTTGCTGTGCAGAAGCTCTGGAGTTTCATTAGGTCCCATTTGTCTATTTTGGCTTTTGTTGCCAATGCTTTTGGTGTTTTGGCCGTGAAGTCCTTGCCTATGCCTATGTCCTAAATGGTTTTGCCTAGGTTTTCTTCTAGGGTTTTTATGGTGTTAGGTCTTATGTTTAAGTCGTTGATCCATCTGGAGTTAATTTTAGTGTAAGGTGTCAGGAAGGGGTCCAGTTTCTGCTTTCTGCACATTGCTAGCCAGTTTTCCCAACAGCATTTATTAAACAGGGACTCCTTTCCCCATTGCTTGTTTTTGTCAGGTTTGTCAAAGATCAGATGGTTGTAGATGTGTGTTGCGTTCGAGGCCTCTGTTCTGTTCCATTGGTCTATATCTCTGTTTTGATAGTAGTACCATGCTGTTTTGATTACTGTAGCCTTGTAGTATAGTTTGAAGTCCAGTAGTGTGATGCCTCCCACTTTGTTCTTTTTGATTAGAATACACTTGGCTATGCAGGCTCTCTTTTGGTTCTGTATGAAGTTTAAGGTGGCTTTTTCCAGTTCTGTGAAGAAGGTCATTGGTAGCTTGATGGGGATAGCATTGAATCTGTAAATTACTTTGGGCAATATGGCCATTTTCACAATATTGATTCTTCCTAACCATAAGCATGGAATGCTTTTCCACCTGTTTGTGTCCTTTCTTATTTCGTTGAGAAGTGGTTTGTAGTTCTCCTTGAAGAGGTCCTTTACGTTCTTTGTCAGTTGTATTTCTAGGTATTTTATTCTCTTCGTAGCAATTGTGAATGGCAATTTGTTCTTGATTTGGCTCTCTTAAGTCTGTTACTGGTGTGTCGGAATGCTTGTGATTTTTGCATGTTGATTTTGTATCCTGGGACTTTGCTGAATTTGCTTATCAGTTTCAGGAGATTTGAGGCTGAGACAGTGGGATCTTCTAAATACACAATCATGTCGTTTGCAAATAGAGACAGTTTGACTTCCTCCTTTCCTAATTGAATGTCCTTTATTTCTTTTTCTTGCCTGATTGCTCTGGCTAGAACTTGCAATACCATATGGAATAGGAGTGGTGAGAGACAGGGCATCCTTGTCTAGTGCCAGATTTCAAAGGGAATGCTTCCAGTTTTTGTCCATTCAGTATGGTATTGGCTGTGGGTTTGTTGTAAATAACTTGTATTATTTTGAGATACGTTCCGTCAATACCTAGTTTATTGAGAGTTTTTAACATAAAGGACTGTTGAATTTTGTCAAAGGCCTGCTCTGCATCTATTGAGATAATCATGTGGTTTTTGTCTTTGGTTCTGTTTATATGGTAAATTAGGTTTATAGACTTGTGTATGTTGAACCAGCCTTGCAACCCCGGGATGAAGCCTGGTTGATCGTGATGGATAAGCTTTTTGATGTGCTGTTGCAGTCGGTTTGCCAGTGTATTATTGAAGATTTTTGCATCTGTGTTCATCATGGATATTGAAGTTTTCTTTTCTTGTTGAGTCTCTGCTGCGTTTTGGTATCAGGATGATGTTGGTCTTATAAAATGATTTGGGAAGGAGTCCCTCTTTTTGGATTTTTTGGAATAGTTTCAGAAGGAGTGATACCAGCTCCTCTTTGTATGTCTGGTAGAATTTGGCTGTGAACTCATCTGGACCTGGGCTTTTTTTTAGTGGGTAGGCTATTTGCTGCCTCAACTTGAGCCCTTGTTATTGGTCTATTCAGGGTTTCGACTTCTTCCTGGTTTAGGGTTGGGAGGATGCAAGTGTCCAGGAATTTATCCATTTCTTCCAGGTTTACGTGCATAGCGTTGTTTGTAGTAATCTCTGATGGTGGTTGAAATTTGGATATCTTAAGGTGCTTGAATGCCAGGGATTTATTCGGCCATAGTATTTATTGAGTACTGGTTATTGTTGAGCAAGGAGTGCCATTTTAATCAGGTAGTTGATCTTCCACCATCATGTTTTTAGTTTCAGGAGGAACTCAGAAACTTAGGTCCCAGGGCAGTAAAAAAAAAAAAAAAAAAAAACTTGTGCCTTCTACCTGTGACTTCATTTAAAAAGTTAATTTCCTGACCTTCAAAAACAGAAATGAACTCTTTGCTGTAAGTAAATGTTGGTCAGAGGCAAACAGGGAAGGGAAATAGCTATACCAGCATGGAAATTGTAGGGTAGAATTATTTTAAATTGGTATGATGTTCTAGAATGCCTTGGCTGCTTCAGGACTCTTGTGAAAGAAATCAGTTTTTATGAATGGATATCCTGAATCAGTACTTTTAATTAAAACATTTCAGTTTGGCTTGGCATGATGATTCATGCCAGTAATCCCAGCACTTGAGGGGCCAATGTATGGGGATCATTTTGAGACCAGGAGTTCAAGACCAGCCTGGTCAATATAGCGCGGGTTTTTTTTTGAGACAGAATCTCACTGTCGCCCAGGCTCGAGTGCAGTGGCACGGTCTCAGCTCACTGTAACCTCCACCTCCCAGGTTCAAGTGATTCTCCTGCCTCAGCCTCCTGAGTAGCTGGGTTACAGGCGTGCACCATCACGCCCAGCTAATTTTTATGTTTTTAGTAGATATGAGGTTTCACCATGTTGGCCAGGCTGGTCTCAAATTCCTGACCTCAAGTGATCCGTCTGCCTCAGCCTCCCAAAGTGCTGGGATTACAGGCGTAAGCTAATGCGCCCAGAAAAAAAATTTTTTTTTTAAATTAGCTGGGCATGGTGGGCACGTGCCCATAGTTCTAGCTACCTAGGCAGAGGAGTGAGGATCACTTGAGCCCAGGGGTCCAAGGTTGGAATGAGCTATAATTGCACCACTGCATTATAGCCTGGGCAACAGAGTAAGAGCCTGTCTCAAAAAAAACAGACCAATTTTTTAAAAAAAGTTAGGACATTTCAGTTTTAGTAGACTGTTTTGGAATATTTGCCTGAATAGGAATTATACATACTTTTATAGTGATATTTAGGAGACTAGAAGTTTTCTTGACTTGCATATTTAAGGGACCCAGTAGGTTTGTGGAGTTTGTAGGTATGTGTTTCATGGAGAGTTTTTTTTTTAAGCCTTCAAGGTGAGAAGACATACGTGTCTGTATGTGTGTGTATATAGTAGGAAAGAAAAAGCATCTTTATATACATATAAATAAAGCATATATAAAAAAAATAAAGCATCTTTATATATATAATTTTTTTTTTTTTTGAGATGGAGTCTTGCCCTGTCACTAGGTCGAAGTGCAGTGGCACAATCTTCGCTCACTGCAGTCTGGCTTACTGCAGTCTCCCCCTCCCGGGTTCAAGCGATTCACCTGCATCAGCCTCCCAAGTAGCTGGACTGCAGACGCATAGCACCATGCTGGCAAATGTTTTGTATTTTAGTAGAGATGGGGTTTCACCATGTTGGCCAGGATGGTGGTGTTCTCCTGACCTCATGATCTGCCTGCCTCGGCCTCCCAAAGTACTGGGATTATAGGCGTGAGTCACCACACCCAGCCGATATATATGTAATTTTTTTTAAGAACGTGTGTATGTGATTTTTTTTAAGAATTGAGTATTTTGGAATTCAGTATTCCTTATAGTGCTTGGTATGTACCTGAGTGGTACTTGGATAATATTTCTAGTCATCTTTTGGGGAACTGAGAGGGTATCATAACTACCTTTTAGGAATACACTCAATACATATTAAGTTCAGAATTTATTAGTAAAAAGAAATACTTTAGCACAGAGTTGTGTAAGTTGTAGCTAAATACACGGTCTATATTATATACGTAAATTATTGTTTTCATTATTATAGTAACTTGTATAACAGGTTATTAAAGTATGTGAGTAATAAGTACATATAACAAACATAAAATGCCTTTTTCTTCATTAACTTGTTAATGTAAAAATGTCCCAGTGGCATATGGGTCACTCCTAGGTGATGTACAAAAAACTAGGGGGTATAAAAAGTAGAAAACACAAACCAAACCATGTTTTTCCAGTCTGCAAATAGAATTCTAAATTTATGATTTTCCTGTTTCAAAATTATTTAGCTAAAATTGAGGACTTCTCTTTTAATTACAATTATAATATTGTTCCTTGTATTAGTAATTTCGTTTTTATGATTTTGCTTGTGTTTATTTGCAGATGACCTTCCTGAACTTCAGGCAGTTCAAAGTGATCCTACCCAATCTGCCATGTACCAGCTGAGTTCAGATGTTTCGCATCAAGAATACCCAAGACCATCTTGGAACCAAAATACCTCAGACATACCAGAAACTACTTACCATGAAAATGAGGTGGACTGGCTAACAGAATTAGCAAATATTGCCACCAGTCCACAAAGTCCACTGATGCAGTGCTCATTTTACAATAGGTAGGAACATTGATTATATTTTTATTTAAAAATTATATCATTACAAAAAGGTTTTATTTAAATTTTTTCCTATTTTAAAAGTAATAATGCTTTAAATTGTTAGAATTTAAATCGTCATTAGAATTAAGCTCCTAATCTAATGATCAAAGAATTATTTCACTCACTACCGCGATTTCATGTCTTAAGAACTAGATAAAGGTGATAATGAGAACTGGAGAGTAAAAAATATTTGTAAATGTTTAAAATAGACCATGAAATACTTCATTATACATTTCTACATATAGAAATGAAAACTGTATTTGGCTAAAGCAGCATAGTTGTAATCAAGATTATATTTTAAATTATATTATCAACCTTGAGTTTGTTTCCTTTTGGTCTAGCTTTGTTTCTTCCATAGTTTACGTGGCCTTACATTATTTATGTGTTTGCTAATTCTAAAATTTGCTAATATTAAAATCTTAAACTTACAAAACTGGATTCCCATTGGTAAAAATCACTGTTTCATATGTTCAGACCAGAGTTAATGAGTAGCTGTGTTATGAAATTATGGAAGTTTCCAGCTAATATGCCTAAGGAGGCCTAAATTGAAAACACTTCATTATTTATCCCTAAAAAGAAATGGGTAAATATGACAGTTTATAAGGGAGACAGATGCCCATATTTGCACACCTATAAGTGGAAAATGATAAGACCAGAGTTTTATACTAGGTAACGTAGGAATAACTGTAAATTTTGTTAGTACTCCTAAGTTAGTATCATGCATTGCCAAATAATAGACTTACTAGGTATGATATCTCATTTTTATTGCAACACATTAAGTTGTGCTGCTTTTCTTTCTTTTTCTTTTTTCTTTTTTTTTTTT